CGCCTAGCAAATTCTTCAACTCCCAGTTCTCTGCTTCAAGTTGTGTCTTTTCTGCTCATAGCTTATCCTAGTCGATGTGTGCCCTAGCCAGCATCTTCTCTAGAGTCTTCACAGACTCGCGTAACCTCTGGTTTTTGGCAACCGACGGAGTCGCCGTCCAGCCCTGAGCTTCTTCACCTACTCGCTCACCTCCTCGTCCTCCACCACCTCCATCGTATCTCCATGGCATACGAAGGTTCGCAAAAGCTGAGGAGGAGGATCCTGGGTATTTGGGGCTTCACGCTCAATTCATCAATCACCTCGGGGGACTCCCTTGCCTGCCTCGGCGCTCGGCCGGCTCATGGTTGGCTGGCTCTCATGTCTCTTCTGGCTGTCCCGCCTCAGCACCCTGAGCAGTGGCTGTCGCGGCACTTGGCTCGGCCGCCCGCCGAGCAGCGCTGACGTCGACTGAGTGAAGCTCCTCGACCGATGTTTCCCTACAACATGATGTCTTATCATCGATACTTCCACACTGGTTTTGTTTGGACTAAGTCTAGAGCAGAAACACTTACTCGTTGGACCACCTGCGTGCAGCTCTGAATGGTTGGGGCTTTTTGGAGCTCCTCTGCCCTCCAGTTGCTAGTACAAATCTTGAGAACACTGGAGGCGGCCGGTTCGCCTCCAGTGCTTCTATCCTCGCCGTGATGGCCCTCTTAGTCGAAGCCTCTCATCTAGGCTCAGGGACTTCGCCCCGAGTGGATCTTTGGCCGACGGCGCCTTAGGCTAACCGGTCGGAGGCTCTGGCGGTCAGTGCCGAAGCAGCCATCCGCGTAGCTTGCCGCTGCAGCGTCTCGCCTGTGTCTTCATCATCGTCCAACCAGTCCACGATGACTTGTCGGCTAGCCGAAGGCTCTCTCATTGAGATTCCACCCTTGGGTGCTGGAGGATTGTTCGGTTTCTTCTTCTTCTTCACCGGCTCTTCTAGGGCCGACTCTTTCCCTCTCGGCGGCTGCCGACGCCTGGGAGGTTTCTCCACCATGTCCTCGGATGAGGACGGCGAACTGCTCTCCGATGGTAGAACGGCAGGAGCCTGGGTCGGACACACATCTACGCCCTTTGGCTAGGTGCCATTCGGCATGTTGGAGACATACACAGCACAATCCTGCCTACAAGTTTTCAAGAAGATATTTTAACATCATCAAGATTTGACATTATAAGGACTTCAAATGGTACACTCTTACCAGTGGTGGTGGATTCGTGATGTTGTATGCCCTCTGCTACCCCACATTGTTCAGTTGGGTGTTAGTTCAAAAAGCTCCAAGATTTGAGCATAGACGACGTCCGAAGTTATCCTCTCGAGGGCTTCCCACGTGGTATCATCATCACATGTGTATTCATACATAGGGTGGACACTCTCCTTGCTCGACTGAATACGGCGGCAGACGAAGTTGATGGCTACACCAACTCTGTTAAGATTGTTTCGCATCTGACCTAGAATCTGCAAAAGCTCAGCGACCTGGGTCATCTCCTCATCATCTTGTCTTGTCGACCAGTTTGCGCTTTGGCACTGCTAAGTGGTCTATGCCGATAGACAGGCTCAGTTCAACATTTCTAATATAAAACCACTTAGCATTCAATCCTTTTCAACGACGTGTTGAGAGGCACTTGTATGTATTCTCTAATTATTCCACCCCTCAGCTGTAGATAAACACTGCCAACCACTTTGGGGGACCCAGATCTAGAAAAGGGTTTGAGGCAGAAGAAATAGCGAAAAAGATAGAAGTACGGAGCGATTCCAATGAACGCTTCTCACAGATTGATGAAGAGGGAGATATGAAGGATACTGTTGGGATGGAGATGGCATAGGCTGATGCCGTAGTAACCAAGAAGTTTTCGCATGAAAGGATGCGTAGGAATTCCAAATCCATGAACAAAATAAGCCACAAATATAACAAGTTCGCTGGTATCGGGGGTTAGGAATGGTTCGCCAGCAGCGGGGCGCCATTCGGCAGTTGCTTGATCGTGCAGGACGCCTTCGAATACCATTCTTTCTAGGATATTCTAGGTGGTCATAGATTTGACCCACTCCTGGTCGTGGCGGACCTCATCAATACTCTCCGCCACCTCCCTCCCTGGCTTCTTCGGGCTTGAGCAGCTACGTTTCTTCCTGTCCTTCGCCATGGATAGGATTTGATTCGATTTGGCTACGATTTCGGTTGCGGAGATGCTGCAGTTGCGGCTATAGTAGTGTGCGAGAAGGCGAAGCACCGAGTACTCTACGGTTGCGAGGAAGGTGTGCTAATGCGAAATGAGGAGAGTGCGCCGGTGCGGGTGGATTGAAACAGTTCAACCCCGACCCTTTAACTTCAGGGTTTTCGGGAAACCACGTTGACCCCACCGCATTGTTCGCCCCTCTCCGCAATATTTGAGCCACCTCCTTCGCGCTCCTCCAACTTCTTTGTCAATTGTTATTGGGCCGGTATAATGGGCCACCGGGCATACTGAACGTTTGAGCCTGCTTCATCGGTTTACATTTCCAAATTTCGTCACGGTCTCCAAATTTCGCCATGGTCTCCAAATTTCTCCATGGTCTCTAAATTTCGCCACGGTCTCCAAATTTCTCCACGGTCTCTAAATTTCTCCACGGTCTACAAATTTCGCCACGGTCTTCCAAATTTCTCCACGGTCTACAAATTTCGCCACGGTCTCTAAATTTTGCCACGGTCTCCACATTTCTCCACGGTCTCTAAATTTTCCACGGTCTCCAATTTTCGCCACGGTCTTAATTTTTGACGTGGTTCTCCATTTTCGCCACGGTTCTCCAATGCTCTCCGCGCTCTCCAATTTTTCTCTATCTTTAAGTGCTCAACACTCTCCAAATTTTAAGGATTTTATTTTTTTAACAAATATGAACAAAGTCCAAATAAACATAAACTGCTCTGCGAGGTATAAAATTCACCGATACATTGCTCCCGATAAACTCCGCTCTGTTTTCTTCATCACCGAGTTCATATATTTTATTTTTAAATCATGTACTACCCGTCCTACATATTTGTATTGCAGGATCATCGTCTGGGTGGTCGCACCATCTGGCCTTCGGATTTCTCCGCCGATCAACTGGTCAGACCACTAGATTCATGACTTCATCGCCGACCAGTTGGTCAGACTTTTCGACATTCACTTCTACTCGGCGCTCACTTCGCCGCCGACCAGTTGGTTGGGCTGCTCGGTACTTGATTCGTTGCCAACCAACTGGTCGGATTGTCTGTCGTTTTTCATCGTCAGTTACGTTGAGGGCTCGCCAGCTAAGCTGGGGACTTCGTCTACCGATTCGCTTGTTGGCTTACTACGTTTTGCCGACGCTGCATGTCATGTGTGATATCAAGGTTTTCCATGCTGTCCAGATCAGGGTGCTGGTCTTGGACGTCATGTCAGGGGCTTTGATAAGTATATCTATCGCAGCAATCTAGTGCTAAGCACTTTCTGTTTTCTGCACGTTTTATCGCTCGGTATTATTGAATTTTACTCCACGTACCCAGTGCTAAGCGTGGGGACTTTGTCCTTTACACTTCATTCTTTGATCCTTCTACAATATGTTTTTTTTATCTTACAGCAAGCTCGGGGACTAAGTATGTACACTTCACCTTACGATAAATATACTATTTTTTTCTTTTTACTGGTTTTCTGCAAAGCTGGGGACTAGCTGTGCTCCTGGCTAAGCTGGAAGTTGGTTATCCTGACTAAGTGATTGTTGAAATTCTTTGATCCTGACATCAGATGTCTTCCTCACCTACTGTCAGGCTCAAGGACTATAATGTATATATTGCACCTTACTGTGCATATATCAGCACTAATATCCTCTTTGCATAAGTCATGAATGATGATCATCTAACTTCGTCAACGAAGCCTAAGTGTGTACACTTCACCTAAGGTGGAGAATTTTTAAATTTTAAACTTGAGCTGCTTATATCCTTCTGGTAATTCTTACTTGGCTAAGTTCGAGATCAGGTCACCTGATAAATTGGCTGACTTTAATTTCCACCGGTCGGATTACCAGTTAAACTAGTCGGCACTTCGTTCTGTTGATTGGATTACCGGTTAGACTGGTCAGATTGCTAGATTTGCTAGCTGACTCTAAGCTAAACTGCTCGAACTTGCTCAAGGCATCGTTGCTCAGCGGATACAAGCCGTTCGGGGACTAGCTGTAGGGGGTATAACCCCAGGTACCCTCGGCAATGGACATAGGCCGCACCGTCAGGGGAGGCCCAGCCCATAAGATCAAGGCCTACAGTGCCCAGTTCTAGTCGACGTGTACCGCAAGACAATCAGAAAGCATCTTGGCTAGGAAGGAAGATATTTCTGGATATGATAGATATTGTATTTCTTGTAAATATTTACCATATAACCGAATAGATCTAGGCCTAAACCGACTTGTAACCCTACTCCCAGACTATATAAGGCGGGTAGGGATCCCTTCGAATTCATCTCATATTCAGTACAATCCAACAAAGACACATGACGTATGGTATTACGTCGATCAGATGGTCCAAACCTGTCTAAATCGCTGTCTCTGTGTCTTGTGTCACCATCCGGTTCCTATTAGGCGCACCTCCACTGATTTATCTACTACCATGGGTATACCACTCGGTAGACTGCCGACCAGATTTCGTCGACAACTAGTGAAGCTGAGCTGTGCCAAATAGGACCTCCCTCCGTCCAAAATAAATGTTGTTCTCGTTTTACGAGGAGTAAGCGCTTCAAAATTTGATCAAATATATATACAAGAAAATATTAATATTTATAGTACATAGTATTTAGTATCATTAGATAGATTATTGAATCTATTTTTATAACAAACTTATTTAGAGATACAAATATTGCTAATATTTCTTATAAATCTAGTCAAATTTAAGATTGAGCGGCACGGATATCCTACTTATTTTTTGGACGAAATGAGTAATCTAAAATAAAACTACAAATAACCACAACATCGGTTGATCTTATGCAATTCTCGTCTACGTCTACCCAAGAGAAAGAGGCTGGGCCGTCGGCACATCGGTCTCTGCGTCACAACGCGCACGGCGAACCGTCCGCCCATTCGAGCGCGTCGGCGTCGCAGCAGCCAAGATAGCGGTGGCCTGCTCTTGCACGACGCTCCACGCCTCCCGGACGTGCCGCTCCTCGGTGAGCGAGTTGCCAATGGCGCAGCGCAGAATGTAGACGCCGCCGACCACGGCGGAGCTCATGTACACGCGCCCCGTCGCGTTGACCGCCTCGAGGAGCCTCCGGTTGAGCTCGTTGCCAGCCGCCGCCACCTCATCGCCGTCGCGGGCGCGCTTCTCCCCGACGACGACCGCGGCGGCGGCGCGCAGCCGAAAGCACACCAGCGCGAACTGCCTCGGCACAGGCACCTCGAACGGCGCGTCGGCGCGCACCATGGCCTCGAACGCGGCGGCCATGCACACGTGGGCGCGCACGAGGCCGCGCAGGCCCTCCACGCCGTGGCAGCGGAGCACGAACCACAGCTTCAGCGCGCGGAACCTGCGGCTTAGCGCGACCTGCCAGTCCTTGTAGTCCACCACCGCGCCGCCCTGCTGCGCCTGCGCCTGCGCCGCAGACGGGTCCTTGAGGATCACGTCGTGGTCGGTGCCGAGCGCGGCCGTCAGCGCCGCCGGACGCCGCACCCAGAGCGCGCAGCAGTCCATGTTGGCGAGGAGCCACTTGTGCGGGTTCGTGCTGAACGAGTCCGCGGCCTCGGCGCCCGCGACGGCGTGGCGGAGCTCCGGGCACACGCTCGCGTAGGCCGCGTCCACGTGCACCCACACGCCGCGCCCCGCCACGGCGGCGCACAGCTCGCAGAGAGGGTCGACCGCCGCCGTCGGGGTGGTCCCCACGGTCGTTACCCGGCAGGTAGTTTCCCCGGCGAATGCCGGCGATGCGCGCGGCCTTCTGGAAGGAGAAGTGGGTCTGGTCGGAGCCGTAGACCGCAAGGTTCCCCATCCGCTCGTTGCCTACCTCGGCGAGCTTCCGGTCTCTGGCGGCGACGATGGTGCAGAGCATGGCCTCGCAGGACGTCCCCAGCAGCGTGCCCCCGCCGCCTCCGGAGAACAGCAGGCTCTCCGGGAGGTGCAGCGCCTTGCCGAGCCAGTCGGTGACGACGACCTCGAGCTCGGTGGCCGCCGGCGAGGCGGCCCACGTGAACGGGTTCACGTTAAGCCCCGCGGCGAGGGCCTCGCCGAGGGCGCCCACGTTGCTGGCCGTGGCCGCGAAGTGCGCGAAGTGGCGGGGGCTCTGCCAGTGCGTGACGCCCGGCAGGATGAGGTCGCGGACGTCGCGCAGCGCCGCGGCCAGCGCGTCGGGCTCCGGCCGCGCCGGCGCTGCCTCGGGAAGCTGCCGGGCCAGGAACCCCGGAGCGACGTCCGGGCGCACGGGGTACTCGTCGATGCGCGTGTAGTAGTCCGCGATGAAGTCCACGACCAGGCGCCCCTGCCTGCGGAACTCGTCGGCGTCCAGTGGCGGGTGAGGAAGCGAAGGCATGGCAATGGCGACGGAGGCAGCCGGAGTGGTGCCGCTGCCGCCGTTGGCTGTGGTGGTAGTAGTGTCGGCTCGGTTCAGGGTAGCCATTGCAGGAGACGGCGTGGAGCACTCTTGCCTCTTGGCAGGTCGTTTAGCTCATGCAGCAGACAGAGTGACTCCCACCGTGGCTCAGTGGATCCAAAGGTCTAGGAGAGGCGGGTGTATTTGATGGCGCGGCGCGCATGCATGACGTGGGACAAAGGCTAGGGCGTGGCGCCATACATGATGACGCCACATACGAGGTGTGTGTGGTACTGGTACATGCATGATACAACAGGGAGAGCGGAGAGGAGCTTGGAGGAGGAGCTAACGGCGACGAGCAGGAAGGAGGAAGGATGCGGGCAGGCCAATGATGCAGTGGCGTGTGAGTGATGGGATATTATTCAACTATGCCCAGTTGAACCTTTCTCCGGGGGTCGGAGACGTAGCGAACTCGTCTTCCTCCTCGAGAGCGCCAGTCCAGATCCAGCCGGCCCCCTCCCTCCCGCCTCCGATGACCTCGCCGGAGAAGGCTGGGAGTGCCCCCCCCCCCCCCCCCGTAGATAGTAGTTGTGAGTTGCCCGGATGGGTGTTGCCTCCCGTCGTGGAGAGTCCTGTCTTGCCATCGCCGTCGCCGCCGCCGTGGCCGTTCTCGTCCTCGCCGCCGCCGACGTCGATTCCAAGGTCAGTAGAAATAAAATAAACTCGTTCTTCTTCTTAGCAGATCTCCTCTTCAACATCCCAGTCTCCACCTTCACCCGCCTCCGCCGAGATCTGCTCCCATCCGATCCACGTCCTTCGCCGCCCGCATCCATCTCCATACAGCAGCCTCCGGTCCTCGTGCTCTCTTCTTCAGTAAGGCGGCTCCTCTTCTGGTGTTGGTTCGTCGACTCAGCCTCCACCTGGGATCCTGGTTTGAGCTTCTTCTCCAAACTCCGGCGACGACTTCAACAGCATCCTTCGGTCGTCGGCGCGCTACTCCACCGATGGCTCAACCGACCCACCTTTAACCTGCGCTTTGCACGGTCAGTCCATCCGGGTGCATGCGTCCTTGACGCCCCTGCGGCCCCCCGCCGGCGGACTCGTCTTCCCCATCGCCGTCGATTTTGCTGCCTTTTCATCCAGCTGCAAGACTTTGATGTATTTTGGTCTTTCTTCGGAGAACCTCCTTGTAAAACGGCTGATGTGATAATATAATATATCTTTGTTGTTGTAAAAAAAAAAAAAGGGACCCATAGTTTGCATGAACCACGGAAGTACATAACCAATTTGCTCATCTTCCCTACCGGCACCGTCAACAACGAGACGTCAACAAATGACAGCCTCGTATAAACGTGCATGCATGTAACGCTAGTTGGACACGTTAGGCACGTGTGCTATACGTTCCTATTTTTCATATCCTATACTCTTCTTCCTGCTCCTTCCTCGCTGTCTTCTTCAGCACCAAAATTTTTCTCCTTCCCTCAAAAAAAAAAAAAACTTCCTTCTAAACAATTACTATTAGAGTCCCAGTGCATCTTTTTTAACAATATATAGAAGAAAATTTCGGCCTTGTCCTTAAAAAAAATCAAACCAACTTACTATAGATTCTTACAAAACAAATCCGACTTTTTTTTTGAAGAATTAAACAAATCCGACTTATAGCTTGATTATTGTAATAAATGGTCATGTGCAAAGAAACGCATTGCCACATACTCAAGGCTGCGTGGGTATTATTGGGATACCTATCATCGTCTCTATTACTGAGACACACGTGCTCCAACAGTCCTGATAGCTCATCTTAATAATTCATTGTATTATATTTCTCTCTATACTTGTGCATACAAACTCTATATATGTTTGTACTCCAAACAATACAACACCATTTCAAATCCACAATTTCCAAATTCAAATTCAACCATAGAGTTCAAACATAGAGCATCACACACTCCCATTTCAAATCCCACTCGCACTCCCTCGTTCAAACAACCCATATGTTCTCTTTTCAAGTCATTATCGTTTATACCAAGACATGCATGAAGATGAGGGACACAGTCTGAACATATGAACTGTTATACAAGCCATACGCATGCATATTATTCACGTGGCACGCTTTGCAATAATTCTAAATGATGTCCCCATATCAACATGTTCCCTTGAGGGGATACACATACATGGCCATCCATCAATTGTAGCTCTAGGCAACGAAATTGGAAGGCAAAAAGGAAATCCAAACCTTGCATGTCCTCAATGAACGCATCCACACCGGCGTTGGGAGCTGTGGTGGCCATCGATGTAGGAGTATCATCAGTATCCTTATAGGCTTCAATTTCATATGAAAAGTCGAATTTCTACTTTGGACGAATTACACGCATGCGGGCATCTCTTGGGGATTATTTTTCTCATTCAAAATGACAAAAGAAATAAATAAATCGCTTGTTACTTGTTTGTGTTGTCAGATCAGGGGCAACCGTTTTATTCCATGGCGATTTTGACACTCGTTGCTTGGGGTAACGTTTATGAACTCAAGAAGTTGTGAGAGAGTGTTTGGTTCCACGCCACATTTTCTGGCTGCCACAGTGCTTGGTTCAGGACTCAATGAAGGCTGCCACAAGCATCAACAGTCCAAAAAGTCAAGATTCTCGCCGCAAACTGTGGCGGCCATTTTTAGCGCCTCAACCGCGGCGTCGCCGCAGATGCGGCATGGGTTGCAGTGGCGTACATCAAACAGCCCCTAAATGCACTTTCTTCGTGTCTGAAAAACATAAAGAAATATTCATAGGGTTACAAATAAAAAATATAAAGCTAAAATTTCCATATATGGCCATTTCTTTCAATAAGGAATGCTTACATGAGACAATGCAATATCTATATCTTGCGTCCTCGAATAGTCGAATTGAACGACTAAAAAGAGGGGAGGCATTACTACAAAGAACTCTCACTATTTCCTCCTTTTTATCCTGCACTCGCTATTTGAGAGTTCGTCGGTCCCTACACTCAAAGGCTTTGGTCTAGAGCGACACATATAGTTTAACCACTCCCTCTATTCTAAATTGTAGTCGTTTTATCTTCCGTAGGACATAACATTTGCTATACATATAGATATATATTATATCTAGATATATAATAAAATCTATGTCTAAAAACACAAAAATAACTATAAATTTATCATGAAGCTATCTTTTGGCCGGTGGATGCTTATCGCATCTTACAAATTCCTTTGACCTCTAGAAGAGAAGACTTGGTGGCATGGCATTTTAACAGAAGTGCCCGATTCTCTGTTCGGTCGGCATATCATTGCCAATGTGAAAGAAAGTTTGGACAGAACTATTATCAAGTGCAAGCTGCAACTGTATCAGGAAGCCAGCTGTGGAAGAATCTATGGAGATTGAAAGCCCGGGGCAAAATCAAGATCTTCGGGTGGCAGGTGCTAAAAGGGCTTATGCCATGTCGAGCCATTCTTGTAAATAGACACGTAGGGAAATCAGGTGGATGCCCAGTTTGCTAGAATGGTGCAGAAGATATCAAACATACGATGTTCACATGCAAGGGAGGTCTGGAGCTTGGCATCTTGGAGAGACATCATTAGAAGAGAAGAGCAGGTAGATGCACTCGATGTGGGTCTGGCATAATTGGTGCTCACTGCTGGCTGGTATATTTAGCGGAAGCGGCGACAATTTGTACATGGGGAGATCATCCAATGACCTTGGAGATCAGCCATGTCTATTGTGACGCTAACAAAAAATTACAAAGCAGCGACAAAGAAAAGATCACAGATACGACAAGGATGGGTGAAGCCTCCAGAAGGGAATGGCGTGTTCGGCCGGCTGGCTGGCTGGTTGCCGGCTGGCCAGTCACCTTACAGAATTACTATTTACGTCTTGCCAGAACAGTATTTTTCTCTCACAACAATTGGCCGGAACAGTATTTTTTAGTCATGCCAAACAGGCCCGAAAATGATGATGAATGTTGATGCGGTTTTTGATGAAGATGTGGGGGTGTGGGAGTAATCATAAGAGATAGCTCTAGAGGAGTCTTAGCTGTTGCCCACAACTTTGTTCCACACTTGGTCGACGCACCGATGGCGAAAGCCTATGCATTTAAAGAGGGGTTGATGCTAGCACAGTACATAGGTGCAACCAACTGATTATCCAATCAGATTGCATGGAGGTCGTAGAAACAATGAAGGATGGAGGTTTTACGACAAATTTGGTAGTTACCTTATATAACGAATGTAGCACTATATGAAGTGGGTTTCATGATATAATGATTGAGCATTGTAATAGGGAGGCAAACCCAGCGGCGTATAATTTAGCAAGAAGGGCGATGAGGTCTAAGCAAAATTATAGTCGGGACGATGAGCCCCTAGTTTCATACTTGATTATCTAGCAAATGATGTAACTATCCTGAATCAATAAAGCATGCCGAATTGTTTAAAAAAACTTATACTTAACGAAAAGAACTTCTTTTAGTGTCTCTTTTAAAACATCTTTTATACGGTAAATCTGTAGCTCACTCGAGCGTTTCTGGCGCGTCCGTCGTTCGGTTTTCTGGCCGTCCATCTTATCTCAACAGACGCGATGATAGGCGAAGCGCCTGTGCCCGCACACTCTTCCCTGCCGCAAGCAGCTGGAAAAGGCGCATCCCAGCTCACGTTCCATCACACGACTACTCTAGTCTATAGCTCTGAGTCTGACACCCCTGCACCCCACGACACCCCTGAACCTTGAGTACTTGGAAGCATGTAAAATACTCGGAGTACACAGGCTTTCCTCGCAGCTTTCTTCTCCCGTCCTTCTCTTTCTTTCTTGCCTCCGACCCTACTCCGGCGACCTTCTCTTTCTTCCTTGCCTCCGACCCCGCCCCGGCGCCCGCGCCACCGCACCCCGCCACGCCTGCAACCCTGCACCCCGGCGCGCCCACACCGTGAGGCCCCTCGTCCCTGCCGTCCCGACGTCGCCGTCGACCAGGCACCGAGCGTCCGAGCCACCGCGCTGCGCGCCCCTGCTTACTGCCTCCCCACCCATCCGCTGCCGGCACGACCGCGTCATAGCTCGGGCCGACCGACCGCCGCTGCAACTTGTACAAATTCATTCCTTGGTTAGTAGTTACAGATTACATCTCATTGTAACATGTTTTACTATTCCTATTTAGGTGTAAGTTCTATGTTTAATTGGTGTAAATTGATTTTTTTTAAATGAGAATGGTGATTTGGATTACTTGAACAGTTCTGTGATCTTTGTTTTTGGCTCTTTTTTTGTCTGTATGATTTATTGCTTTGATCTTCTTCTAATTTGCCTTTCATAGAATTGATCTGTTAAATCTGTCTTTTTTCTTTGACCTTCTTCTATTTTGTCTTTTATAGAACTGATCTATTAAATCTGTCTTTTTTCTTTGCTTTTTTGCTTTGATCTTCTTCTAATTTGCCTTTCAAAGAACTTAAATCTGTCTTTTTTCTTTGTTTTTTGCTTTGATTTCCTTCTAATTTGCATTTCATACAACTGATCTGATTAATTTGTATTTTTTCTTTGTTTTTCGCTCTGTTTTTTATTTCTTTTATTTGGTTCGTTGGATTTTGATCTTCATCAGCCTGTTCGCTCGTTATTTTTCGGCCAGCCTCAGTCAATAGTTTTTTCCTTAAAAAAAACCAGCACAAATCAGCACAAGCACCGACCAGCGAACAAGGGCCTTGTGTATGGGAATCGAGTGATAGAACACCTTGAAACACTCGATTTGTTTTATTTGGTAAATTTGAGTGATTTAAGCTGTTCCGTCACTCGGGCGACAGGAGGGTGTAAATCACCCGAGTTTTCAATCACTGTAGTTTTCTTTATGCGGAATACATGAATATAGGCCCGCATGACAGAAGAACGAGGTGGGAGTCCGGCCCACTAGCCAACTCCGACTCGGCAGGACGCGGCCCGCGGCCCGCAGGCGCTCCCGCGATTCCGCGAACCCGCCAGCTTGCGAAAGAGAAATGGGTTCTCTGCTGTTCAGCCCTTTCTGCTACAGAAAAGGTGCTTTTTGTGTCCTTAGTTTCCTGATAATCTTTATGATACTTTTTTCATATGCATTTCAACTGAAGCAAAAATGAACAAATCCTTCAGGGTATTGTATCAGAATTCGCAAAAATAGCTGGTGTGCCTATCTCAACAAGTTGGAGTCCTAATGTTACCCATGTTATTGCATCAACCAACATGTCTGGTGCTTGCAAGCGCACACTGAAGTTTCTGATGGCAATCTTGAATGGCAAATGGGTTATCTCCATCGACTGTAAGTCTGTTTTATTGCCTGCTGGAACGATCATTAATTCATTACAACTTTACAAGAATAGTTTGCACTTGACAAATTGCTGCCCTTTGTTGCTAAATACCGACTTTATTCCATAGGGGTTAAGACATGCATGGAACTTATGGAGCCTGTTGATGAATTGAGATTTGAAATTTCCACTGATGTACATGGCACTGCTGAGGGTCCCAGGTTAGGCAGACAACGAGTTATCAATAAGGTAAGAGTATTTTCCGTTGTTATGTACTCCACCTAGTCTCATTATCTACAGTCACTGCCAACAATATCAGTACAATGCTAGGTTAAGGACATTGTTAGCATGAGCATGATTATTTGCAGGATATTTTCTAGTAATAACATTTTTTCCTTATTCTGCAGCAACCTAAATTATTCGACGGTCTTGAGTTCTATCTCCATGGAGATTACACCAAGTCCTACAGGGGCTACCTGCAAGACCTTGTGGTTGTAGCCAGTGGAACTGTCCTGCAAAGGAAGCCTGTGTCAAGAAATCAGCAGAAGTTGCTTGACGACAGCTCCCTCATCCTCAACGTCTACAACATCGAGAATCAAGACAAGGCAAAACCAAGATCAAGGGATGGCATAAATATTAATCGTAGCCAAGTTGATGCTCAGGTTCTGGCCTATGCCTCTGGTGGCAAAGTTGTGAGCAGCGCATGGATCATTGACTCCATAGCAGCTTGCAACCTTAAACCTCTTTAAGGGAGCCTTCCATGCTGCCCTAAATGTGTGCTTGCATGCACTGTAGATTGAGTAATGGACAGAAAATTGTATAAGTATCAGTACACTAGGACGGTAAGGCCTTAGGCTGCTGCTTCTAGACCTCCTAGGGCGCTCGCTTGAAGCGCGGCGTTTGTATGTTTAAACTCTTCGCGTATTCAAGAAAAAAAAACCCGCCAGATTTCATAAATACAATAGTTAATCCTCTGTTTTAATTAAAAGCAGTGCCACAATGTTGAGTTTGTATCAGGTTGTTATACATGGTGACTGCAACTGAATTCAAAAGACATGGCTTCTGCAGCTAATTATGGCTCTGTTCGATTGAGCTTATAAGCTAGAATTAGCCCTATTTTTTCAGCCATGGAACAATGTTTTTCTCTCATAATAAATCAGTTCTACAAATCAGCCGCAGCAGCAATAAGTCCTGCCGAACGGAGCCATATGGGAATTTGTGTGGAGCTCATTAACACATCTACAAAGCAGCAAGCCCCTGTTACTAGATGAAAACTGTAATGTCAACCAAGTGGAGAGTAATATAAGTCATGAATAAGCGCAACACATCAAGAGAGGTATTAAAATTATGATAAGTTAACTGCAGCTGCCAATCAAAGCTTGTACGAATGCCATGCAGCTAGCTGGCTATTAATATGCCCCCATGTAGCAGACTTGGCCAAAGTGCAGCCGATGTCAAGGTGAAATTTGAATCCTTAAGCGTCATCACTAACAAGTCAATGCCCAAAAGTCCCATCATTGTGTCTATCAAAACTGTCATCATTTCTTGTTCAGAAGTATGAGTACTGGAGCAATTGGCCTATTGATCATTTGAAGTTTGCAGGTCGCCCAGGTGTCCACAGGAAGGCTTGATGCAAATGATTCAACAACATCGAGTTCATCCCTAGGGATCAGAAAGAAGAAAATTAATAAGACCACGGCCCACTTTTTAAGTGATATTTGGCCAGAATTCAGTGTTCTGTTAAACAACAAGCTTGTGGTGGCAAGTCAGATCATGCAGAACAAACAGCAAATAGTTGTATTTATTTATTTATATTAAAAAAGAAATGCATTCCTTGTCCAGAATCTATAGTTGTTAGTACACTCATAAATGTTTTCGGTGACAAATAAACGAACAATATTACAGCACATGGGTACAATGTTTGCAATTGGTGTTTACCTTCCACCTGGATGCCCAATGTAGACAAGAACACTTATGAGTCCCCCAGAACTCAGAAGTCTGCTGGCAGCTTGCAATGCTAGCTCAGTTGTCCTAGGCACTGTGATTACAGTTTTATCTCCTCCTGGAAGGTAGCCCAAGTTGAAAGCAACAAGCCTAGAACGAATGTGCCACAGTGAATCAGCAAGTCTAGGATTGTTACTACTTGAACTGGCATTTCCACTTTTCCAGAAATTGTTTTGTTGACTTATAGTACTAAATGAGTTGAAATTTTCAAATAACAATGAACTTAGGAAGGCCTTGATCACCTGACAGGAGCATCTTTGGGAACAATTTCTTCCATTCTACTATGACATATAGGAAATAGTTTTACTAGTCCCTGCTGCCACATAAAACAAATATAGTCACAAGTTACTATATTAAATATTCAGTGAGAAGATGACAAGTATCCTCTCTCTCTAGATACTAAGGTCAAATCCGAATGCCTTCTTGTTATTTTTAATCATTTTCTTGTTTCCTTCTTCAGGGGAAATTAGGTACAGACTTCATAGTTCAAATCCACACCTGACGTTCATCACCCACGACCATTTTCAGAAACGAGGAAGTACTCTCAATCGCGGAATCTTGAAAGTCCCTCCCATAAACACGCCCACGGCCTGTTTCATCGGCCACCATCTTAAGCAGAGCGAGTGTGTCATTGCCATTCCCGCATGTGGCATCAACCACAGTATCCCCTTTTTGAACAATATTTCTCCACACCCTAACCATAAACAAACACACAAAATTAGCTATCGCCTATCAGAGAAACATGGAAATAGTTCTGCTTACGCATTTCACTTGAGTTACTGTATCTACAAGCAACTGAACAACGATTTACCTCTGCAGCAGCTCAGTAAACATAGGGCTACAATTGTTCTAGGTGGCTATTTACCTAGCTTCATAAGAATTCCATGCTGCTAATTTCAGCGTTGGATGAGAAGTTTACAGTATACACATTCTAACACTTAATCAACAATGGGGATTAGTGCCTACGCGTGGGCTTCCTTCGGTGGCCTTCCTCTTACCGGTGACGAAGCCCACCACCGCCTCCTCCACGCCAGCGACGGAAACGCACCCCGCAACTTCAGCAAATTCGGCAACCAACGCCGACGTGAAGGAAAAACAGAAAGAGAAACCAAAAGAACCAACCAAGTTCAGGTTGCTGCGCCGTCGCGACGCCCGCGGCGGCGAGCTGTGCAGCGGAGGCGCGAACGGAGAAGTGCCTCCTGGTCCTGCAAAGGGGCGCATCGCAGCTGGATCCTCGCCGGAGGAGAGGGGTTAGGGTTTGGGAGCGGAGGAGAAGGTGAAGGCGCAGCCATAGTGGAGGGTGCAGCGGCGGCGGCATCGTGGCGGGCAGCTGCGAGTCTGCGACGGCGGCGGATTGGCAACGTGCTCTGCGATTGGAAATGGCTGCGGCTGTAGTGAGGTCGCGTTCGCTGGATCAGAAATCAACGGACCAGTTTGTCTACGAGCTGCGAGGCCGGAGGGGGAAAAAGGAAAAGAAAAAAATTGGGCCGAAACTCAGAGGTGCTCGTATCATCCGCGAGGATGACAAGTCGTGACAACCCATATGTGTCATGGAGCATTTCATCAACGGTTCGGCCAAATTAATTAATTTGGGGTGAGAGAGGCTCGAACTCTCGACCTCAGGATAACTCAAACAGCTATGAGACCTACGCGCTAGCCAACTGCGCCACCACCCCGTTGTGGTAGCTGTGCAGATGAAATTCTATAAGGCACACACACAAGAACAGAGAGTGAGAGTTCTTCTCTTGTTTTCACTTTTGTTTCGTTACATTTGATGAAAGTGATCTCCTATTTATAATAAGAAGGCTAGTGTGAACACTGTAATTATGCAGTATATGAACAAAGACTCTAAATGGTGAGGAAGAGTCTAAGATTTTACGTGTGCATACACAGTGTCCTTAATTTTTGCTTAACAAGTGCGAGACTTCGTACTTAATTGATTTGTGAGTAACTGAGTATGGTATTCAAAGCTAAGAGGTCCATTTGTATATTGTACATTTGCACTAGCTAGACCTGACCATGTTGAGTGTTGCCAGTTACGTAGGTGAACTGCAGAGGAATACATGCTGTAGTTAGTAGGGCCACAGCTAATCAGACAAAAGCTTCAACACATCCTGCAACAGCGCACAGAAACTGCAACTCGTTTTTAACTTGGATTTGTCATGCCTTGTGAGTGAGCGACTAGCTAGGCAGTGTGCACAAGTCCCACCACAGATTCACGATGAGCTTAAGCGTAGGTTGCTCACACAGTGTTCTCAAGAATGTGTTCACAGTCGGCACCATAGACCCGTTGGATTGTAACCAACAAACCAGCTAGATTGCCCAATGCCTCCCAATCCCAGCTTGCAGAACACTAGTCTATATGCATTTTGACTGCTATTGGGCGGCATCCATGGTCCATAGACCTTATCCTCATCGCTCTGATTACTGCCCTCCCCCATTCTCGGTTCTCCCTCGATCGACCGATGGAAAAGGCAGTTCTAGTTGTACAATACTAGTTTCAACTTGGGAGTATATGTACACAGAAGCATGTAAGACTATTTATGGCTGGGTGTCAATGCGCTGAGCGCCTGAGCCACCCAATGATGCCTGTGACCATGTGTTATTCAACTTTATTTTAAGAAAGTACAACAAGGCCTTTGTTTAGATTGTAATTTTTTGCAACTTGGACACTGTAGCACGATTCGTTTGTATTTGGCAAACTTTGTCCGATCATGGACTAACTAGGCTCAAAAGATCTATCTCGTGATTTACAACCAAACTATGTAATTAGTTATTTTTTTTACCTATATTTAATGCTCCATGCATGCGTCCAAAAATTGATGTGATTGAGAGAGAGTGAAAGAAACTTGGAATTTGGAGGTGATCTAAACAAGGCCCAAGGTTACATCTACTTGTACTTTTATATTAAACGAGATGCAAAGCACAGGCCTGTTCGCTTCTCAGCCGGCTTATTAGCTAGAATCTACAGTATTTTTCTCTCACAACAAATCAGCTTCAATCGGCTTATCAGCCGACTTTAATACCAGCCGAACAAGCCACTATGGCGACGTCCATAACTTCACTGCATCAACCATAATGAAGTAGTACCAAGTTTAGGTTTTGAGTAAATTTCTTCCGTGCCGTTGAAAAAGTTATGATCCCTCTTCTATGCATATTCTTTTCCGTCCCTTAAAAGCCATCGAAGAACTTATGATTTCTTATGGGCAATTTTCCCCACATGTCATTACTATTAGAGCTAGGACCCTTCTTAGTATTCTATGATAATGTCTAAAACGCCCCTTGACTAGTAAACTATAACCTCATCGCTCTCATGATCATTGTCCTCCTCCCCCATTCTTGTTCTCCCTCGGTTGGCCAACGGAAAAGGCAGTTCTAGTTCTACACCAACTCGAGAGTATATATGCACGAGTTTCAACTCGAGAGTATATATACACACGGAAGGCATGGCAGAATTTTTATGGTGGGTGTTGATGCGCGGAGCAACTGAGTCCTTATTTAGTTCCTCTACTAAAAGTTTACACCATATCCCATCGAATATTTGACACATGTATGGAGTATTAAATATAGACTAAAAAATAATTAATTGCACAGATTGCGACTACTTTGCGAGACGAATCTTTTAAGCCTAATTAGTCCATGATTAAATAATAAAGTGCTACAGTAACACATATGGTAATGATGGATTAATTAGGCTTAATAAATTCGTCTCGTGGTTCACTGACGGATTTTGTAATTTGTTTTTTATTTGTATCCGAACACCCCATGCGACACCCCCATGTGACACCCCAAAACTTTACACCCTAGAGCTAAATAGGGCCTGAGTTGTAAATGTTTGTCATAAATAAATCATAAAAGAAATGCATTCCTTGTCCAGAATCTAGAGCTGTAAATGTTTTCAGTCATAAATAAATGAACAATATTACAGCACATGGACACAATGTTTGCAATTGGCGTTTACCTCCCGCCTGGATCAGCCGGCTGAAGCTGATTTATTGTGAGAGAAAAATACTGTAGATCGTACCTGATAAGCCGGCTACGAACAGAGAGTCCCCCAGAACTGGCAGCTTGGAATGCTAGATCAGTTGTTCTAGGCACTGTAATTACAGTTTTATCTCCTCCTGGAAGGTAGCTGAGGTTGAAAGCAACAAGCCTAGAATGAATGTGCCATAGCGAATCAGCAAGTCTAGGATTGTTACTACTTGAACTGGCATTTCCACTTTTTCAGTTTTTTTTTTGTGAATTATAATAGTACTAAATGAGTTGGAATTTTGAAATAACAGTGAACCTAGGAAGGCCTTGATCACCTGACAGGAGCATCTTTGGGAATAATTTCTTCCAATCTACTATGCCATATAGGAAATAGTTTTACTAGTCCCTGGTTCCCTGCTGCCACATAAAACAAATATAGTCACAAGTACAAAATATATTAAATATTCAGTGAGAAGATGAAGACCAACGCCTCCTCCACCCCTGCGACGGAAACGCACTCCACAACTTCAGCAAATTCGCCGACCAACGCCGACGTGAAGAAAAAACAGAAAGAGAAACCAAAAAAAAAAAAACCCAACCAAATTCAGGTTGCTAGAGATGTACCTCCTGGGCCGGCAAAGGGGCGTGTAGCAGCTGGGTGCTTGCCGGAGGAGAGGGGCTGGGGCTTGAGAACGGAGGAGGTGAAGAAGCAGCGACAGTGGAGGGTGCAGCGGCGGCGGCGGCATCGTAGTCTGCGACGGCGGAGGATGGCAACGTGCTCTGCATTGGAAAAATGGCTGCGGCTGTAGTGAGGTCGCGTTCGCTGGATTAGAAATCAACGGAACAGTTTGTCTGTGAGCTGCGAGGCCGGAGAAAAAAAATAGACCGAAAGCTCAGAGGTGCTCGAATCACCCGGGAGGATGACATGTCGTGACGACCCATGTGTCACAGAGCGTTTCATCATCGGTTCGGCCGAATTAGTTTGGGGTGAGAGAGGCTCGAACTCTCGACCTCAGGATTACTCAATAGCTATGAGACCTACGCGCTAGCCAACTGAGCCACCACCCCGTTGTGGTAGCTGTGCAGATGAAATTCTATAAGGCACACACACAACAACACATCAAGGAGTGAGAGATAGTGCGAGTTTTTCCTCTTGTTTTCACATTTGTTTCGTTACATTTGATGAAAGTGATCTCCTATTTATAATAAGAAGGCTAGTGTGAACACTGTAATTGTGTGCAGTATATGAACAAAGACTCTAAATGGTGAGGAAGAGTGTAAGATTTTACGTGTGCATACACAGTATTTATATTAGCCTCTTACTACAAATAGTCATCAAATATGGGACGGTTGCTGCCACACTTTGTCACACTTCACCTTAGACAAGTTTAACTAAGTTGATAAGTGTTTGGTTGGCAACTAAACTTAGATAAGATTTTTTAGGCTCCACAGTCAGAGTAAAAAAAATATGACAAGATTCTATTAGGCATGACAAAGAGTAGCTCCACTTCTTCTAACCATACTTGCCTAAGGTTAGTTCTGGCAAATTGCAACCGGGAACCAAACAGTCCCGTAATAAAGCGAGCAAGAGTGAAATAAAAAAGAAAACCCTCGTTTCCTCTCTCTCTCTCTCTCTCTCTGTTCTTGCTGTGTTCTTGTGTGTAAAGAACTTAATTTCTTAACCATGGTAACATCAGTTAGGGGGCCAACGAGTGTAAACAAAAAAGAAGAAGAAAGCTTACATTTGCATTAGATGCTAGCACCGACCTCAAGAAAATAACATTTAACAAAGGAGCATCCATGGGTTAGTAAAATTTCACTGAGGCCGATTAAACAAACAAAACCATTTCAACAAAAATTAACTAAAATTTTAGTCTTCTATTCGGTGAACACCTTGGTGCTAGTTGGTTAACCAAAATTTATTTGGTTTTAGCTACCATTAACTGAATTAATCAATTTAATCAAAATTCTTTCTGAATATTGTATTAAACACTAAAATTGTGTCTATTTGCATACTTAAACATATTTCTATGAGACTTTGTTAGAAGTGTTCTTTGTTGCATTTTCTTTTGTTTTATTACATGATGTATTTTCTTGCTAGGTGCTTTCTAATATAATTAAGGTGTTGCATTGTCTTCTGTAAAGGTATATTATCTATTGGTGTTAACTGAAATTGATTTCGGTTGGTTATTAGTTTTTTTACAACAAATTCGGTTAACATTTTGCTAAAATAGAATTCTTGATAATTGATTTAATTGAACCGGTTTCACCACATTAACCGAATGCCCAAGCCTAGGAGAACTGATTTCTGAACATGCTTCACTCCATGGTTTTTGGGCATAACTT